ACGTGATCAGACGTATACCTTTGCCTCGAGTTGCCAGTCTAACAAACGGAATTTACCGGTAACTTGTTCTGAAGTGCATGCATCGTAAAATCTTGAGAAATTATTCATCCTCTCGATTTGTATTTGAAAAATAATTTAAAAAAACATGTTAAATCGGTCGATATAATAGGAGAGGAGAAGACTGCACTCACGGCAAGTGGTTGACAGTAGTAGGAAAATAAATTTCTCAGGTGAGATCATGAGGGTGAAAATTTGCCGGAACCAGTGAAAACTGAGACTGTTTTTCACATAATCTTGTGACTACCACTAGAAGGAAAATACTGAGATGGGTAACGATGCGCAACGGCTCGTAGAAAAGCAAAGGATGAAAGCAGACAATTTTTCCACCCTAACGATCTTGTCTCCCATAAAAAGCTGGTCTCAACGTACGTACATTGTCAGCAGAACAAGAACCCACGGACGTGGATAAACACAGTTTGTACCTAGGAGCGATACATCAGTGTCTGTCATCAACAATAATTACGTTGATGGCAAGAACTCCAGAAAGCTCAATTACTCAACGGGTAAAGGATTTTCCCCGCCCCGAAGAATCACTGAATTTTATTTTTTCTCAAGACACCCATGGGATGGGAAATTTTTTTGGTATTAAGCAATAAATATAAATTGTCTCAAACGACCGTGAAATCGTGTTTATCGCACACGATCGCGGCTGTATTTTACGATTCCGACAGATTGTAGATGGCTCGTAAACTTTATCACTGCAGATATGCCGTACAATGCTCGAGTTGTTAAGCATTTGTTGTAAAAATCACTAACTTATTTTCACTCGATTCGGTAACAAATGTCATAGAGCGGCGTTGATTCATCCAGCATCAATTCAGTTTTCGTACTTTCTCGTATACCACAATCGATAATATCGCTTGGAGATCAACTCCCTGGTAACAGGGGAATTCTGAGGAAGTGGCTGCGACGCCTGGAGAAAGGCCATTGGATTGTTTCCAGATCGAGATGACAAACGGATGCCGCGGGATCTACACTATTCATGCGGCAGATCCTCCAAATTCCAATGTCAACTGCACTTCGAACAACTTTTCCCCCATTAATTTCACCCTTCACTAAATCACTCAATTTTTATGGATTTTATAATTATTTTATTTCTCCAACAGTGTGACAACTCCGTGAAGTCATTTTCATTTTATCGTAAATGCGCAGCGGTAAAATGAATTTTCACCTCGGGATCTATCCAATTGGAGGGGCCATTTTCCCTAGATCTCCTCAAGATGATGAATAGTGGTAGATTTTCATTAAAAATCAGGGTACTCGGGGTAATTTGGCAGTGTATCAAGTTCGTGTTCATTAAATGCATCGATCCATAGACTCTCCTGGCGACGGGGAGGAAAATTGGCTGATGGTGGTCCTGTGCTTTCGGCTCCGAGTGGTTTTCCCGTGGGAACAATAATGAACTAACTAGGAGCCCACTAAACATTAGGTTACACAAACCCCTATAGTGGTGAAACTGCTCGACTTCGTCGGTTAGCACCGGGAATTGTCAATGGCTTGGGTATTTCCAGTAACTTCTGTTGTTCCGTCTACGTCAGGCTATTTGTTACCCATGAACCGGTATAATCATTGTTTGGTCCCAACTACCGATATCCAATCCCCCGAAAAAAAAAACCGAGCGACTCTCATAAAAAAGGATTTACCAAATCCACAAAAAATCCTTTTATCCATTTTAAAAACCATTTTGTTGTTCTCTCTTTTTGCTCTTCATGGAAAAGACAAATTATTTATTCAATGATTTTCAAAATTCACAGGAGAATACTCGACTATAAAATAAATCTTCAAAGCAAATGTTCCTTGCGGATAGCAATTTTCTCGATGGGTGTACCGTTGGCTCATAAATCTCACGATTTTTAGTCCCTTAGTAGTCACATCAGCCCCTCGATGACGGGAAATTACGGTGATATTAATGCAACAGAGGATTAGAATTTTTTAACTCGTGCACCGGTTGAAAAGCAATCGATTACTTCTGGGGGGAGAATCAGTACAGTTATTAAGAGAAAAGCCATTCTCGGCGGTCAATGTGTCTTTCTTCGGACAGCTTCGATTCCGGCCATTTAGCTTTTGCCAGAAAACCCAACCGCGCGGTTTTATTTTCATTTTTATTTTTGTTGCATCTGGAGCTCTTCTCTCGGGCACGTCTTTACTCTTCTCCGCATTCAGTTCTTCAACTCTTTCTCCTTCATTTTTCTTTATTCCAGGGGCATTCTTTAAAGTTGCTCCTGGTTTTTCTGGGACCAGCGCATTTACTCTCCATCGCTGCACATAAACAATCGGACTGGGGGCTTTCTCAGTTGCTGGTGCACTGGCACTTTACCAAGGGTACATGGAGTTTTGTGTCGCGATTAGTTAACGCGGTTATCGAACGCGTTTGAGTTAGGGTTTTGGGCTCGGGATGGGAAGCTGTAAATTCAACAAATGGTCAGCCGCAGTCTCGACAATTTTCCTTAAAAAATTTAACCGCGACAAGTTGAATAAAAATTACCTGAAGATATATTGTCTCCAAAAATGTCCATTATTCCCGTAAAATCTGCTTCTCCGGATTAACCGACGATCCATGCAGTTTATCTTCTGCATAACGCATCAGGACATCAGTGAATCATCTCTAAAACAGCCACTGCTCCTGAACCCTCGTTCAGGTACATTCTTGACACCAGCTAGTATGTGAAGCAGTAAGTATGTGAACCACTCAAGTGAATGGAGGGCCCCGGCACCAATTGAACATCACCATGGAGACAAATTGAGGTGTTCATCAAGCATCTCGTTAACATTCACAACTCGAAGGTACCTAATCGCGTTTCCTGCCAATCCTCCGGAATAGTCTGCCTCAGCTTGGTTTGTATACACTACAACATCCCGGAATTTCGTAATTCCATTCAATTACTTAAAGCTTCCAGTAGTGACACTAAGACCGGTTTTAATTTTCTATGACTGGTGGATGTTGTCGGGATGCGAATTACGTTATTTCACAGAAGTTAAGAATTATTTCTGCAAGAACTTCAAACAAAATAATTAAAAAGGTTTATCGTATGAGTCTTTTGTTGGGAACTCGTCCTGAAAATCCTCCGGGGTGAATTTAAAACGGTGAAACCACGGAGTTGTTCTTTTGCCTTGATATGAAAAACAGAATACCATTGGAGGACACAAAGGGTTGATGCACACGTCATTTTTTTACAACCCCTGTCACTTCTCTGGATTGACGGAGCTATTAGAAAGTCCTTTGATCTCAGTAGTGCCCACCGACACGACCTATACCCATCATCATCTCCGACGTTGGAGAAAGAGAAGGATTTGCACGTTAAAATAGCGCATGATCAACGGATTATATCGAGTACAGGGGGTTGGAAAAACAACTGGGGGTTGAGGTTTGCCTGTACCGCAAGTGAAATAAGAAAGAAAAGATCAAGGGATAGACGATAAATCCCGACACTTTCATCGACCACTGGGGATTTTAAGACGGAATCAGTTTCGTGATCTTCCTACTTCACGGGGGAATGATTATCCTAAGAGTTTTCGTTCAATATGGAAGGTATTGTGCACTTGCGTACAATGGGGAAATCCTCCTTTCACGGTCCAGACGAGTGATCTTGTGGTTTTTTTTTTTTTTTTCATTCTCACATTGGTACACACTGGTAATAGGAGAAGTGAGGGAGATGGTGAGAATAAAATGCCTCTTCGATTGACTCCTCGGTCCCTCGGTACCCGGACCATTTTTCTCAGGCGCCATAAGCTGTTCAGCTGCACAGCTATCCCAATATCCGAGACTCACGGTCTTTTGTTCTTTCTCTTTTATCGAGTTTTCAAGATGGTTTCTTATTTATTGGGCTTTCCGTCTCGTGGAGGGACACGTATCAAATTGCTGCACATTTTTGTGACTCCGGAGAGTTAGTTTTCCACTGGAGCTTTCATGTTTGTGATGGTGTTGTTGTTCATCAATGGGATGAGATCGAGTTTGAGATTGTGAGTATGAGGGATAGGTCTCGTTGAATTTAAGATTCGTCATCGGTATTTCTCGGTGGTTGAGGTGTAGTCAGTCGTTATCTGGGGGTTGGAAATTGGAGAGGCAGTAACGAGCCGATTGAGGATCAAACCTTCTGGGACTGTGAGGCCATTGGATACGGTTTAGGCGTCGCATTCAACTGCGGATGCCGTTTGTCAAGGACCAAGTGGAGCATCACTTTGAAATGTACTGATGTCCGTGGACTCGGGGCTAATTATTCGATTGGTGAGGTTCGATGGGTGATCGATTAATGGATGACTAAAAACCAGATCGATATACCGATAAGTAATCAAAAAAAAAATACTGACAAGTTGGTGACCGAGTTGTGCGAATATTAAAAAATGAATTCTCTTCGATTTTCACAGTGTCGAGTTCTCGGAATATCCCTTCAATTTTCAACAATACGGCTTTTTAAAAAATAAAGTGAATACGGAGAGAATAAAAAACGACAAAATCAGTGTCTCGGAACAGCGATCAGGCTGACTATTCGTAGCTGGAAGACGCCTCTCTCTGGTTCACTAGACATGGTAGTCACTTCCATTACGATCAGAGAGGGGGTGAGAGAACAAGAAGAGAGAGATAAAAGGCAGAGGTGAAGAGAGAGATAGGTTTGGGTCTACATCAGGAAAGCTCTTACGTTCCATTAACCCGGAGGGTCCGCACTGCAGCTGCTTGAAAGCATGACCGTTTCATGCAAATCCAAGGGTAGACCCCAAGATCTATATACATTTGTGTTGATCGATGTCATTCAGCTTGATCACCCCGCCGGAAATGCACACCTGTTTCCTATTGTACATTACCTGTGACCCTGTGGCACTGGTTTACACCGGGACAACTCGTTAAACCTCGGGCCAACAGCCATCGAAAACAGTCGGACAGTTGAAGCTTTTATTCAGTCTGTCTACTCCTCATTCAGTAATCAGGTAATACTCATTAAAAAAATGTAGTATTAAATATTTTTCGGATAATTTTTATAAGAGGTACCTTTTGCATTAATTTTGTACGTTATTGCATCATTAATTAAAATGTTAATTAAGCTCTAGAGGATCGATAAAAGTGTAATTGGCGCGGAAACCAGTGTAAACGTTGCTGCTATCGCTTCTGAAATGAATATAGAGAATTCGACCTTTCGTGATAACCGGTGACGCAGCAGCTGGTATTGAAGAACCGCTGATTGTGATGAGATCTATGATTCTACCCTCGTGGAGTTCGCTGATCTTGACCCAATCGTGGGTACTTTCGGTGTAAAATGATGTGAATCTCAGCTGAATGGTGTGCCTCGGTGGTGCCTGAATCACCCAATCGCAATTCTCGTTATTCCTGTACGTTGTGCCGTAGGTCGGGTGTCGAACCGTTCCATTCCGCTCTGTGAAGAGTCCACCACATTTGAGATCTGTTGTTTTGTAGAGTGCCTGGAAGCCAACATTCTCTCCAATTGATGAGTAACTCTCTAGCTTGAGGAATAGAGCATTTGTTGTGGAGTTTATGACGCGTGATGGAATGAAATAGTCTGTACCGCAGAGGACATCTAGCCTTCGGGCAAGATCATCATCGCCGTCGTAGATTTCTAAACGTCCGCTGCAGCTGTCTGTATCGTTCCAGCCGAGATCTATGTGTGACAGACTCAGGGAAACCACTTTTTCTCGGGGCTGAATTATCTTGTAGGTACATACCACTGATGATGGGTAGCTGTGAGGGTAATTTGGAGATGTTATCAGGCCGTGAGAATCTGTTAATGTGTAATCGCAGATTCTGAAATAAAAATTACGTGATTGATACAATTTGACATAAATTCGCACTGTCGTTTTGCACTATCAAAAATTTATTCAAATTTCAATTACGAACTCATTTGAATTTTCAATTATGTGAGGTTGAACTCCATTTAATTTGAATTTTTTTTTACTTGCAATTTCGAGAGTAATTTTTCAACGGTGTACCTGTCAAGCAGCCATCTTGATTCCACCGTTGCAATAAAGAATAGTATAGAGGAGAATATTATCCAGTTCATTATGAAAACAATTTTTTTTAGGCTCCACCAATGATTGATAATTAAATGCTCGGTTGATAGTGCAACCTGTCAATTTATTAGCCAAGTTATCACGAGAAAATCGCACCTTATCAATTTTCTGAAAAAATCTTAGATTATTTTTCGTCCGGAAATCAATGACAATTTATTATCAATGATATGATTTGTTGTGTTAATCTTATCGATGATCGTTCGTCAGTGTGAAGTGTTTTATGTTGTTCAAATTTCGACGAAATCATGAGGTGATTCTGATAAATAAAATCTGAAAATCATTGGATTAATCAATTCCAATAATAGAGTTAATGATTGACGATGGGAGTAAAAATATATACATATATAAATCGAATGTAATTAATTTTGAAGGATTCACCAGCGGGAATTTGCGGGAATTTTTGGAAATTCTCATTCGATATTTTCAGGAGTGGATTTTCTAATAGGTATTTGTATGCCTTTGTATTCTCAACGATGTGCAGCCAGAGTGGAGGCCTCCGACAATTTCGTGCCCACTTCATTTACTGGAGAAGTACTTCCCTCAGTGTTCCGTTAATTTCTCCAAATATTCCCACTGTGAAAACAGATATTGCTCTTGTTGCTGTAGCTGCAGGTGGTGGGAATATCAGGAGATAATTGGCGGTTGAGCCCTTGTCATGATGACGTTAAACAATCATGCCGCCCGGAATTTTCGACATTCAATTACATTCAGGACAAAAAGGCTCATCAATTAATAAAATTAATCAAGTCACATTCCAGGGGTTTCAAAAATTCATTCATCTCAATTTTTTAACTCATTTTTTACCCCCCAAAACTTTGAAGTTCAAGTAGCGAAATGTTTTTGTGGGAAATTTCTAGTGCATTGCAAGAGCGCCGAGGGAATGAATTTCTGAAGGAAAAGAAAATTTACGAAATGTAAAAAAGAATAGTTCAATTATTTTCTCATAGTGTTCTTACCTCACATTTATGGCACCTCTAGAGGCACGTGTAAAGGATCGCGAAAGCTAAAAAAAGCTCTTTCCACTGCGCTTTAAATCATTATTTTTACGACGGATCGTTTCCGCACTCAAATATAAAGCACTGAAGCCCCCAGCGCTTTTTCAGGTCGTAATCTCACTCGAGTATTGATCACAGATAAGGACATTTCACAGGATAATTCAGTAGCGAAGAGGTAAAGGGTGAGTCACTTGTTCCCCAATCGAGTTTTCGAGCAATATCTCTGAATCTCAGGAAGATAACTAAATTTATCTCAGAGCCTCGCTTATAGACTTGAAAATGGCCTAGAAATACAATTGCACCACAACAATCAAATATCAAACATTAATTATCAATTACATGCGAAGCACCTGGAAAAATAACACAGGGTTATTTTACCTGTACCGAAATTTCTCTTTTTTTTATTCATTATTAAAATTTGGGATTTGACCTAAATAAGTGAAATCTCTGGATGTGGATGTGGGATAAATCGCTCGACTGTCCGAGAACAAAGAAGACAATTCCTGTATTATATGATAATAAAAAAAAATTGATGGCGATTGATCCCTCGACGTGAAGTTGCAGGCAGGGTAAGATCAACATAGTGTATCGGAGGTCTGAGAAAAGTTAAATAAGTGATGGTCCCAGGTCGACGCCTGGAACGCGTCAGATGTCGCACTCTGGAATTTTATGCCTCGGGTATAGGAGCTCCCGCCCAGAAGCCACTGGGAAAAAAGATCCACCACTCCCATACATTATTCAAGCCCCAGATCATGACTGATACTCAGGACGTGCACATCTTTACGGTGAGGAGTCACCCGAAGTCTATCGTCTATATTCTTTTTCATCCCACAAGGATTCACTACCCTAAACTCCTAGCATTCGATTTTTACTCACCAGAAGTGCGACGACCTCTCGGATCCATCCGGTTTTTCTTTCTATATATTTTCATTTTTTTTTTTTACTTTTCATCCAGGATTTTTTTTTGGACAAAGGTACGAAGAGTTATTTCGGAGTGTCAATGGAATATAAATAGCTGAGTGGTGGGAATGAAATCGAGACGTGAGTGAAGGCTCCAGGAAACCAGTCGTGATTCGAATATCGCATGCAGGGATTTTTTGAAAATATTCGCATTCATCTTATTCAAAATCTGGTATACGTGGCTCTGGGGATGAAGGATGGGGTTGGGGGTGGATTGGCAGGTACTTACTGAGAGGCAGATCTGAGGATACGTCTTCCATTTCACTTGTTGTCGATTATTCCCGTGAGTTCTTTGACAGACATTTTGACAGCTCGTGTCACGATTAATAGGGCATCTGACGGTTACATAATAAAAGTTTTCTTGCATGTCAAATTTTGAGATTCTCCTAATTTTCAAAACAGCCAATGCAAACCAGAATAAATTAAATAATTGATTATCTTTTTCAATTTTACGTGACGAATAATTATTGGGGTGTGAGGGATCGACAGACGACTCCTGTTGGAATCGTAATCGTCCGGAAATGTCCGGATCTTCTCCGTCCAGCTTTTCCCTGAGATTTGGAATAATAAGTTGACCAGTTGGACTGGTATGCATCTCCAGCAAGCATGGAAAACCAGGAAGGATGAACGTGACTCCTTGCTCTTCATTTCTCCAACCATCTAGCCATTCCACGTCTTCTAAAGCACACAGACCATTCGGGGGTCAAAACGACTACGTGAGATGCATATACTGCCCTTTTCTCTTTCACTCCTTTACCCTTCTACTGCTTTTACCATTATTTTCCACCGTGGACATTCTATTTCTCCGTGGTGAAGGGATAAGAGATGACATTTACGTATGCGAATATTCCGCGAAATACAGTGACCCATTTAGCTTTTTTTTTCAACTACGGATAATGCTTCTGAAAATTCGTCGCAATGTCGTTTATCAATTTATGGGACATTTCTTTCTGTTGACGATCTATTCTGCATGATAAATCGGCGAACTGGGTCTTTTATGGAAATTTCTACCGCGGGAAGAATACTTTGGAATGATTTTATTGTCGAGGAATATTTTTGATCGGTTTTTCTCGGATTCATCCAAAATTCCGTATCATTACGATGGAAATACGCACAAACAATTTTCAATTCCATTTTCTCCGTCGGAAAATGCCCAGAAATATTTTTGTTGAGACATGAATTACACATTAAACAGCAATTTGTACGAAATAAAAATAAATGAAAGCAAAAATGACGAGAGAAATTTTTTAGAACCTGAAAAAAATTATTAAATAAAATAATTGGTAGAATTGACGTTTTTTCAACGGTTCAACTCTGGTTTAATTGTTGAATTATCCCACGAATGCAATTTTCAATTTGATCTCGTAAAGTGGACTAGCCAGTGGAAGTTTTCACCAGCTGCAGAGTTTTATCAAAATTTTTAGTGAAATATCTGAGAGTAATCATAGAGGAAACCAATTGCCTCACCCGTCGCCCTAATTCAGATCTGTTAAGTGAAAAACTGATGACCCGCTGAGTCAATTACGCTAGAAATCTAATCAGACTTCAGTTACATGAAGTCGCTTCGGTTGCATAAGGGAAATTTCACTTCAGCTCCGTCACTTCCCATTTTCTGATAGGAGCTCTCCTCCAAAAACAAATAATCATCATTTTTTTTTTCGCTCGTGAATCCAAAAAGTTCACCGGCCAGAAATTCAAACTGAATTTTCCCATAACTGAACACATCAATCCGTCGGTCATTGCTGAAAAGTCGTTTCACCGTGAAATTATGGTAATATGCACATAAAATTTATAAAATATCCGACAATTCAGGAGTTAATAATGCACTGTCTAATGAGAAAATCAATAATAACCGTGAGGGACAGGTCTTTCATGTCCAATAACGATTGAAATTCATTAATGGTGCGATTGACTTAATCCAATTCATTCCCCCTTTTTTTATTAACGATGCATATTGATTTACACATCACTAATGAATTAATTATGATATAATGTGACATAATTTTTATCGTGAAAAGTTGCTTGAGGTAATTTTGAATAATTACGGAATTGATTGAGTTGATTTGAAGCGTTAAAATTTTTCAATGGGGCAAATGGAAATATGAAGACGATGGGAAAATCGTCATTTGAATTCATAAAAGAGACATCGGTGCCAAGGAAGCTCAACTCCTCGTTTAACACGCAGATGGTGATAGACGCTAGGGAAGCCTGGGAAGCCTCACAGTTAAGTCGTCGACCTAAAAAAGTGTTTCACGTACGTTTTGATCAGTGCTAACCCTCTCTGATAGCTTAATTCCGCATTTCTTCTTCTTCCGTACAAAATAATATTCTGTATGACGTAAAGTACCTCATCTCACCCCAAAAAACGACTGAAATTTCGATTTGGAATTTGCCAAAGCAATTTTTTTTTGTCATCGTTGAAGTACTTGATAATCCGCATGTAACGCGTCATTCCCCTACCGTTAAATCGCGAGATAATCTACTTGTCTATACGGCATACAGTTATTAGAATATATTCACATTAATCGTCGAGTGTAATCCGATTATTCCGGATAGATTATTAACGAACAATTGAATGTGTACCGAGCTTTCGAATCCTAAATTATCTCTTCGACAAAAGCCATTCCCAAATAAATTTAACGATTTTACTGTACAGCGGATTAATATCTGTGACAGGGACCCGATTACTTCGAGTACTTTGAACGGAATGATAAATAAATTATTGTTCAGAGTGAGCGGATAAAGAGAAATATTTATCATTCAATGAATTAAAAGGAAATATTCATCTCCGTGTGATCAATGACTGGAATAATTTTTATTCCCGATTATCTTTTATTGTCCCGAAAGTTTTGAGCTTGTGAGTTGATACATAAATTTCGTTGATGATATTTACTTTCGTCGTTTTATTATTTTTCATCGTAAAGGAGTAATAAAAATCGTCGACATACACCATCGATACAGTACGTGACTCTGATCGAGAAATTCACCCCTGAACTGACCAGCTGAAGTGAACCTCATGAATTATTCCACGTGGTCCCTCGTTTCATAAAGTGTTGGATGTCCGACAGTTTTTCTCCATCGCTTTCTATA